TTAATGCATTGAAAGGAGTAATTTCTTCTAAGTTTCCTTTTGCATTTCAATTGAAGTTTGAATTGTCTATTTTATTGACTTAATTTTCCCATGCTTATCAAATAAAGTATAAAATAGTTTATGATTTTAAGAAAGTTATTATTTTAACTCCTGATTCATTGTACATAAATGGGAGAGATGAATTCATATATAAAATAAAACAAATATTTACTGAAAAAGAGATCAAATCATGTAAAGAGTGATGAAAAATTACACAGTATCCTTTGAAGAGATGCCAAAGATACAAAAAGATATATAGTAAAATGGTCTACTTTTAAGATAGCGTTCTAGCAAACAGTTTCAATTTAATATGTATTTTATCTTCAGCTATTCCAGTGGGGTTCTTTGTGTATTTCAATCACATCCTATCAACTGATCCCCAATAGTTTCTTGTTTCATATATTGTAGGTCTTACATAGCATCCTTAATTAATATTCAGGCTTCAAGGTGCTATTTATTAAATTAGGGATACAGCCCACCCAATTAATAAATTATTACTTTGGAGGCACACTTGTCTTCTGAATGTATAAATGCATCACTTAAATAACTCTCAGGGAATAATTTACACATGAAGAGGCTCTGGTGATTAAAAAAGCTGTGTGCACTTCTTATTTCTGGAAATATTGTTGGACTAGGTACTTAAGTGTAAGTAGTAATGATTCTTACTATTCTAGTGTTCCTAACAATCCTAGAATCATGAATTGGATACAATATTAAACGTGTAATGTTCTAAATCAAACATTTCATAAGAAAGAGGGAGACAGTTTCCACAAAGAGAATATACATATGGTCTTGAAAAGACCTAGGTTTCTTTCATTGTGGGATTTGTTTTTCCCCTAAAAAGAACTGCAAAAAGTGAACATAGCAAATACTTCAGATCAAGGAAAAGGAAAGGAGGATTTGGTTGCCATTGCAAGAGAAACATACACTGCCCTTTTAAAGTATTAAAAGAGAACTGATGGGCTTCTATTCTTGTGTCACTGTTTCTCTTGTCCTTGGGTTGTTCATGTCAGATTTCTATGTTGCTTGTTTATATGTGACACATGTCTCTATCTCAGATTTAGGTATAATGAAATTAAAAAAAATAGTTTTGGTAAAAATTTTCCCTTGAATTATAAATTCTGTGACAGTATGGATGCAGTACCCAGAGAAAGTGTGCCATTGCGCAGAAATAATCCTTACTTATTCTGAGAATACTTTTTTTTTTTTTTTTTGATAGCAGGGATTGAACTGAGGGACGCTTGACCACTGAGCTCATCCCTATCTGCTTTTATTTTTTGAGACAAGGGTCTATGATAGGTTTCTTGGGGCCTCACTAAATTGCTGAGACTGGTCTTGAACTTTCAATTCTCCTGCCCCCGCCTCCCAAACCAATGAGATTACAGGCTTGCGCCACTGTACTTGGCCTGAGAATAATGTTCACAAAAATGTCTGCTTACTGTTTATTCCATTTTATTTTTTTCCTGTTAATTTTACCTTTCCCCAAATCCATATAGCAAAAGATGGGCAATTAATTATTTGAGTTGTGCATCAATAATCAAGGTAAATAGATTAAATTTATTTTACAGTGCTCCTTCAAACCCTAATTACACTTTAACAGTACTCCCTTTGTTCTGCCAGAAACTTTCAAACTGTCCTCAACTTCCAAACTCAACAGAACAATTGCAAATGACAAGGCTTGAGCTAGCATGGGGTAGTGATGCACACTTGTAATCCCAGTGACTCTAGGGGCTGAGACAAGAGAATCATAAGTTAAAGGCCAGTCTCCACAATTAACTGAGACCCTGTCTCAAGATAAAAAGAGGATATAGCTCAGTGGTAGAGTACCCTGGGTTCAATCCAGTCCCAAAATAACAGTATCAAAATAACAGTTTTAGGACAGTGGTGGTGCTGGTGGTCTTGATTAGGAATTAAGATCTGCCATAGATACTGCTGTCTTTTATTCTTCAATACAATTTTTATTTGATATGATGTCAGTTGCTTTCTATTCTTCTCCTCTAATTAACTCCTTGGTGCTTTATATTGTGCTACACACTACAGTGTGACTTTTGGTAAGATACTCATTCTTTGGATAAGTGGAAGGTTTTATCCCTCATCACCTTCATTTTAATTATTACTATTATTATTTGGTATTTATCAATGAAGTGTGTCTTAATGAAGTATGTCTTTAAAATTGCAATATATTTTCTATAATTACATTGTCAAGTACTCAAAAGGTTGTTTGTACATCACTGAAAGTGTGAGATTTCCAGGTATGCTTGATAGGAAATTAATGTTAATCTTGTTTTGATTGCTTTTAACTGACAACTTATTAAAATAGGTATAAACATTACAATAAAAGACTGGGCTAAATTCCTTTGTTCAAAGTTGAAACTAGAGTATTCTGGGCTGTGTTTTCTTTCTTTTCTCTTGGTCTCAGTCTTTTTGTTGTAAAGGGGTCACTTAAGGACGACCGTGAAAGGAATCCGTGCGCCATCTACTGACGGAATTTAAATTTCTACCGTCTGGAGATTGGTAATTCCCCTACACTCGGATCTTTGACAAAGGAGGGGTACTGGGGAAAAACCTTTTCAGGATCTGTGGTTTATTTGTAACTGCTGTAATAAATCTGAATCCGAAAACAATATAATCCATAAAAGAGACATCAATCCCTCGTGCAAAACAAGGATTGAAGAGAACCCCAAAAGAGCTAGGAAGGCATTAAGAGAAGTTAGCTAAACACTGAAATCAAAAGGGAATGGGATTGTTGTTTTTTCACCTGTGTCCTAAGTCATACTCACTGCTAATGGTTACTGCTTAATAGGAAATGACTTTACTAATGATACATCTAGATAATTTTCAGCTTCTGGATATTATTATCCAAAGAACTCTCCAATTTGATCATTTTATCAAAACTTTTAAGAATGCATAGCAGGTGGGTTCACCCTTCACATCACTACTTTATATACAGCTTGTCTATGTGCATGTAAACTTAGTCCTTACAACACAGCTTCATATACACCTACAAGATGATATGCACTTATGTAGCTGTGATATGAACTTACCTACAAAAGGTTTGTAATTAGTTGAGAAGTCAAAGCCCTTGGATTTGGTTTAAAATGTCTCTCTCCCTAGTTCCTTTCTTCTGTAAGATAAATCCTGCAGAAGAGTGGAAAGAATTGGAGTCCTCAACCAAAGAAGTTTTGGGGTTGTAATTGAGAGAGACAGAGGGAGTAGCAGTTCAACGGGATCAAACTACTGGAGTTGAAAACTTGTTGGTTTGGAGATTAAAGCTGGATGGAAGTGGTCACAATACAATTCCCATTATATTTTTATGAGCAGCGGGGAGACCTTAACGTGAACAGCAAGGACCTTGGATGCCCCAGGTAAACTCCTCCCCAGTATTCTGCTGACTTCAATCCAAGGGCCAAGAAAACTTGCTTTCATTTGTCTTAAGAAGGAAAGAGAAAAGTGGGAAGCAAGAAGGTTCAGACAGAAAGTGGAAGGAAGACAAAGGGGAAAGGTAAGGAGAAGGGAAGGAAAGGTTCCAAAAGAAGTTGGCAGACGAGAGAAAAGGGGGAGTAAGATAAAGAGAAAAGATAAAGGGGTGTGTGTGTGTGTGTGAGAGAGAGAGAGAGAGAGAGAGAGAGAGAGAGAGAGAGAGAGAGAGAATTAAGGTCTAGGAAGATGCAGTGATCTTTGTTTAACGAACCAAAGTCACACCCATCTTTCATTTTCATATCAATAGTCTACATCTTATCCGTTTCCTTTTCAAAGGCTGTCTGCGTTTCTAAAAGAAACTAGTCGCTACTCCTCCCTGCGCCCCACGCGTGGCCGCGCTATTCGGTTCACAGCCACTGAGACAAAACACAACTGGAATGGGAACATTTGCAGGACAACGACTGTGGGAACAATACCGGCGACTAGTTGTCACCCGGGAGCCTAAATGGATTAATACTCAGAGATGGATTACGTTGGCTGTCACCAATATGCCTGAAGATTATAATCCAATTTATGCACATTACAGTCAGTATTAACTTTATCTGCTATTTTAAGGCTCCCAGTCGTCCCGCGCGTCCTCAGAGGTTAGTCCTCACGTTCTGATGCAACCCAGCAAGCTGTCAGGAGGGGAAGCCTCACGAAGAAAACAACTCCAAGCCGGGTCCCCAAGTGTCTGCACCAGGCATTCCCAGGTGTCTTTCCTTCACCTGGGCACCGCTTTGTGAAGCTTCGCAGCCCGGGATAACCAAAGCGGGAGGCATTCTCTAGGAAGGAAATAGTATTCTCGTTTCTAGTTCATCTCATTAAAAGGGGGAAAAAAAAAAATTCGGTGGCGGTAGTAGAAGGGCGGGGAGTGAGGATGGTGGGCGGGTGCTTGTGAGTAGATAGGGAAGGGGGCCTGGGGATTGTAGCTGGTTGTAACAGTCTCAGCGATTGCTATTTTGATGCTTGTTTTTTTGAAGGGTGGCATTTCTCTCGCTTTCTCTTTAAATAAGTTTGTTTGGGTGTGAGTTCTTGCCTTTTCAGCACAAAAGCACTGAGAGAGATACGTGGTGGAAAGTAAAAGAAAGCCCACTCCCCCCTCCCCGAACGTGCTAACTAACGCCAAAGACTTGATTTAACACCCCTTCTCCGGCTGCTCTAGGCAGTGGCTACATTCCAGCAGTTTTAATCCGTTTTTTATTGTAGGCGAATGGAGTTTACACAGAGGCTGGGATGGCTCCCCAGCTGGCCGCTCTCCCCACTGCAGAGCCCCCTCCTTCCATTTCCTCCCCACCCCCGAGCAGGAACCTGTTACTTTAAGCAAGGCGTTCCAGTGTGGCGCTGCGGGCCGCAGGGGTTTCGGGAGGTGGCTGGTGATTGGCTCTTTCGAGCTCCCCCTGGCTCGCTCGCTCGGCCTCCCCGCGCGCTCCGCCCCGCCCGCGCCCCCTCCCTCCGCCCCGTGAGGCTCGGAGCCCGGGTGTCAGGCGCCACGGCGCATGCTCCGGAATCATCCTCTGGCCCTGGAGCTGCTGCTGCTGCTGCTGCTTTTGCTTTTGGGGCTGAGTTTAATAAGCGAGCGAGCGAGCGCGGGGGAAAAAGGCAGAGAATGACCGCCGTCTACCCTCCGTTCCTGGGCGCGCTCTCATTCATAGCAGCCTCTTCATGAATTACAGCTGAGGGGGGCGGGGGAGGGGGGTACCACACAACACCCCAGCAAACCTCCGGGCCCCCAGGCATGGCTAGCTCGGTAAGTACTTGCAAAAACAATAATAAAAGACCTCCCCCCCCCCCCCGCCTTCCCTTCTTCGCCCTGCGCCGCCGCAGCCCAGACAGCGCCAGCGCTCCGCGGTTCCAATTAGAGAAAGGTTGGTACGGCTTGCAGGGAGCTGCTGCCTCTCCCTCAGCCTCCGCTCTCCTCCTTCCCCCCCTCCCCCGGCGCGCGCGCGCGCACACACACACACACACACACACACACACACAAACACACTCACACACACACACACACATTCGTCCCTCCACCCCCCCGCGCCTCCCTCCCTCTTCGCCTCTTTGCAATCACAAGAAGCGCACTCACACACTCCCTCTCGCTCACACGCGCGCGCGCGCACGCACACACACACACACATACACACACACACACGGTGGAAGGAGGCGAATAATAACTCAGCCATATTTCAGCCGCCACCACCGCCGCCGGGAGCTGCGGGCACAGTCCGGGGACGCGGCGGGCAGCCTCGGCGGCCGCACCTCCGTAAAGCACCGCGGCCGCTACGATGGTGCGTTCTCCGCGGCGCGCGTGTGTGAGCCGGAGTGTGCGGGCTGACAGCGGCGGGGCTGCACGCAACTTTGCCCCAGCGCCCGGCTGTGCGCAAGCCGAGGCTCGGCTGGTGTCTGCCCGCCGCCCTGCCATTCCGAATTTCATTTTTGGGGGGGAGGTAGGAGGTACTTTGGGGCCACTTTGGCTCTTGAAAGTGTGTTGCGGGGGCTCTGTTCGGCTGGCCTTGCCGATCTCGTGGGGCTTTTCGCTGAGGGGAGCCGGGTGCTTTAAGTTATGGATGCCTCGGCGTATTTTCTTGCGTGTGTGTGCGCGCGCGTGTGTGTTTGTGTGTGACGACGTCTCATTTTTGTTGTTCACGAACCCCGTGGTAAGAGCACGGGAGTTTGTGCCCATCAGCAGAGGCTGCCTGTAGTTTCCATTCCGCCTGGCACAGCGCTCCACACGCACGCACACACACACGTACACAAAGACTTCCTCGGCGTGTGCCTGTCGCCGCGGTACTTTCGGGGAGGGGGCCTCGCCAGACACCCGCCGTGCCTCAGGGTCCCAGCCACCTCCTCTCCCACGCCGGGAAACCACCCCGGCATTGCCTTCTAATTGTCTTCTAATTTGTTACCGATGCATTTGTTGTGGTGCTTGTCGTGGCTGTGTTCTCCCTCTCCCCGCGACCCCCTTCCCGACTGGGGGTAACATTCCGTTACAATCCCGGCGGGTGTGGATGAGGGGCCCAGGGCGCCGGAGTCCCACCCGCGGGGCCGGGTGTGTTTGGGGGCGTGGGGGGTGCGTGCCCACGCGCGTGAAACGTGGATGCAGAAGGCACTGCCGTTTCCTTTTATGTGCGTTTCAAGAAGGAGGAAAAAAATGTCAGGCGCAATGTTCAGTAGCGAACGGTCGGTCGCCTTCCTGTTGTTCACCGCTGTCTCTCCTCCCCCTGCCCGCAGTGTGCCGTGCAGGTGAAGCTGGAGCTGGGGCACCGCGCCCAGGTGAGGAAAAAACCCACAGTGGAGGGCTTCACCCACGACTGGATGGTGTTCGTGCGCGGTCCGGAGCACAGTAACATACAGCACTTTGTGGAGAAAGTCGTCTTCCACTTACACGAAAGCTTTCCTAGGCCAAAAAGAGGTAGGGCTCGAATACAAAAGAGGCTTGATAAAAAATGTCTTTGCTCAGCGAGGAAACAATCGCTTGGCCCGGGCGGTCCTCCTGCCCCGCTCCCCGCCCCCCGCGCCGCGCTGCTCGCCGCGTAGCCTCGGGACCTGGGTGCGCGGCGCCGCGCTGGCCAGGTCCCGGCTCCCGCCCGCGCGCGCGCGCGAGCCGGAGACTTTGGTTCGTGAAAGTCACCGCAGAGAAAGGACCGTCAGGTGTCGAGTGTTTATTCATCTCAAGCCAGTCCTCACCGATCCTCTGGGGTTAGCCACGGGTTCTATGGGGAAGGCGCAATTAGTTGTTCGGTTTGGAGGTTTGAGGGGTGGGGCTGGAAGGAATAAATAGTTTGCGCTTTTTTTTTTTTTTTTTTTAAATAGAGAAATTGAGATTTACCTGTGTTGTTAGCAAAGAACGCATTAGATGCAATTATTGTTAGGTCTTGAGAAGTCGACTTTCTTTAGGGTCTTCTCTGCCTTCCTCTCTCTGAGGCACTGGATGCCACTTGCCATAGACTTTTCTTTTGGGGGCTTGGCTACCGCCACACCCTGCCCTAGTCAGGATTTTATTTAGTTGGGGGCTTATTTGCCTCCTTCTCCGCAGTGGCACTTGGCTGCTTTGACTTTGAGCTGCCTTCCTAAGTGTCTGCCAATGTGATCGGCAGGGAGAGGGTTCCTTCAAAGGTCTAAAGCTAAGTTTCAGAGAAATGATGTTGTGTTACCTATTTTTTTTTTTTTTTTTTCAGTTCTTCCCTACCTTGACTTACTTAGCTTTGGAATCCAGTTTGCATAATCTTGTTGAGCCTCTGCCGTCCCAAACATTTTCCATAAAGGGCAGGACAGTTTTAGAAAAGAGAAAAAAGGGTGTCATTTTAAAATAAAATTAAAGGGAGTTTGAGAAATCCTGGTTTCTATTCCCTTCAACCTCTGGAAAGCTACTGTCTGGTTGTTTTAGTTGGATTAGTAGAGGTAATAGTACAAATACAATAAGGTGCTTTGTTTGTGAGCAGGTTTATTTATCTAAGTCGACACAATGGTTAGTAGTTATCTTCCATTTGATCCGTAATCTTTATTGGCATCTAGAACTCCTGCAGTTTCTTAGAGTAACATCATAATAAATCCATTCTGCTTAGAGCTACATGGAAATTATTGAATATTCAGGGCTGAATAAAGAAAGGAGAAATGCTGTGTGTCTTAGAGGTGGCAGTTTGTCTTGGTGCTTATTTTTGTTTCCAGTGCTCATGTAATGGAAAGGAGGATTGTATTTTTATGCCTTTACTGGTTTAGTTTTTAGCTCCTCTTGAAAACTTGAACAATTGAATTTGATGGGCTTTGTTGGATGGTTAATAAATGCATCCAGCGTCTAGAAGAGAGTTAGATATATACATAGCTTACAGGAAATGATATTTAGTATTTATTAGCATTTTATATCAAAATATAGACAGAAACACATTATATTGCCTCAACCTGTCATGAGGATGAGCATTGTCAAGTTTCTGTCACTATAGGCGGTTGGATGTGATGCTTCATGGAATCTTTCTCTCTCTGTCTTGCCATGTGTCTGAAGAGCCATTGCAGAGCAGTTTAAACAAAAGAAACCACCTTCTAAGATTCTTAGTACACACTGTTACTGCTACTTGGCTGCTAGTCACTTCAAGGTGAAATACACTTAACAAAAAAAACCCAATGTTTATTGTATTAAGAAAATTAACTCAGTTGGCAAAAGATGTAGCACTTAAGGTAACTTTGTTTAGGCACCTTGGCAATCAACAAATTGGTATTATGAATTAAAGATGATCAACCTCTTCTCTATTTTGCCACTGTTTCTCTGCTTCAGTAGGTGTGTGTGGTGATGTTTTCCTTTATTTCCTATACTTAATGATTTTTCTGTCCAGATTGAGGGAATGGGAAGGTGCTGCCCATGTAGCCCACACCTGGGAGTTGTTGCTAGGCATGGTGAGCCCTTGATAACAGTGATATCTTCTCAGACCTCTAGTGAGGGATGTCTGTTGGTTGGACTCTACAATTTTTATTATCAACCGTGGAGTTTCTTTATACAGCTTATAAACCATTGTTTTAAAATATTTATTTTTGGATTTTTATTTGTATGTGTGGTTCCCATGATGTGACAAGTCCTGGGAAAAATGCCAGCTTACATGGCCCAGGAGAGACCTTGTCATACTGTAATTACACATGATTCAGATTGTATGAGAAGGTTTCTCTGTTCATTGGGAGTAGTTAGTTGTAAGTTCAAGCAACACCAAACATCCCACTTAATCCTGGGACTTATTGTTTTAGCTTATAAAATCTTTCAAAATGATGAGGATAAATGTTGAATAAGAATGCCAGGTACTTCTAGTGCCTTTTAAGGTGTTATGCTTTGCTATATTGTAGGTAATAAGTGATAATATATAATTTCACCCATTGGAAATGGGAGAAATGGCAAATGTCCATTTGAGAAAAATCTGAGTATGAACTATTTGAAAGAAGTGCTCATACTTTAAATTAAACTATAAATGGCTATTAACAGTGACAAGTTAAATCGCTTTCACTAGATACAGTAGCTGATAAACAGACATGAACCTTAGAGCTGAGCATGAACTGCTCAGCTATGAAGATGGATGAGTCCTTAGTTTTGTAAATCTTTGGTTTAGAAAAGCAAATTGATTTTCAGGTTGGTTTCCTTATGAGAATTTGTAGAGGAAGACATTACAGTATTTTCAACTTGTTGCCGAATGAGAGATATACCATTTCAGAACTGAGCTAATTGGATTTGAATTAATGAGGTTTTACTCTGTCACAAAGATGTGTGGGAGACCTTCAATGCAAAACTACTGGTATAAGGTCCTAGAGAAAGAGATTTTTGATGAAATAATGAAGCCTGGAATATCTATTAGCCAATACAGAATAGCCAGGTCAGTGTGTGATGCAGTGTTAAACTATCTACTTGCAAGAAAAGACTATATCATATTTATTAGTATCAAAGATTTATTCTAGTCTGATATGACTGAAATGGATGGTCACATTCAAAACATTTCATTTAAAATATTAATGTTTTCATTTTCAGTATGATGTGAATTTCAGTGAACTTTCTTTCCAATTACAGCCATCCTTACTATTGCAATCTGTTCCATTGACATTTATGATATGAAATCTGTTGTTTATTATTTTATGTAAGCTAATTTGGCCACTGGTATGATTTGATAGCTTTTTATTTGCAGCCTTTAGTCCTTTGGGCAGATGAAGCATAATAAATCTACTCTTTCAACTTTCCTTGGATTTAAGTATGTGAGTCTAGCTTTATTGCATAGTTCTGACCTGTGTTTTGAAATAATTTGAATAACTTTTTGTTAAGGTGCCTAATATTTGAGGACTTACTAATTGCAGATTTTGCATGTGCCTGATACATTTAAAAAGTATAAGAAAAAAATGAAGATGAGACGAGTGTGATTTGTGTGGGGTCCTGATTGGAATTAAGATGACCAGTGAGAAAGGTTTTAGTACTTGTCATTTTGAAGTAACAAAAAGTATAATTTTCTAAGGTACTTAAAAGCTGAATTGGTGGAAATCTCATATGCTGTCGGTAAGAATGTAATTTGTGCATGGACATTTTGGAGGGCACCTGGCAAAATCTGTTAAGATTTGTAATGTTTATACCCTTTAACCCAGAAAATTTACTTCTAGGAATTTTCTGACAGATTTGACTTCACAAGTACACAAAGATACAGCATATTTCTTGTGTCTACTTTGTAATAGCAAAACTTTGGAAGCAAGCCATATAGGGACCTCAATTGAGCGCAATAAATGATGATAATCTATAAAAAGTGATAAGTGTATAGGTGCTGGAAAATCTTAAAGAGGTATTAAGTGAAATAAGGCAATTTGCTAAATCTATGAGATCCCGTTTAAGAACTGTGCCACACAGATAAAAAGTAAATATATGTATGCATATGTGTATAAATAAATTTGGATATGTGGACACCAAACTCTTACCAGTAGTTTTCTTCACTGGGTGCTTGTGCTGTTGATCAGGATGGGATTTTATTTTTGTAGTGTTTGATTTGGGAAAAAGTTAAATCCACATATTTAAAACATCACAGTGAGTACACATTATGTAAGATGGAAAGAAAGAATATACCACCAATATAGAATATTGTGTTTTAAACAGATATTAGCATGTAACTATGTTAAGAGTGATCTTTATTTTGGGTAGATATTGTTGCTTAATAGTTAAGAGGAATTACAGTCAGGAATTAGACTTGTATTCCAACACTTGTTTAAGAGATTCCTTGGGTGATCTTGGCAGCTTATTTCTTTCTCTGTTTTCTTGTTTGTGTTATGGGAATAATGATGGAACTAAAATTTCATAAATGGAAGAATAAGTACAAATCATTTATTCTTAAACTCATTGAACTTCAGACCTTTTTATAAGTTAAGGACTTCAAAGGGCTCTTCTGTGAAAACTGGATCTATTCGTTTTAAGGTATTAAAATTTCAAACTGAGACTTTTTAAAACAAATTACAAGTTGTTTAAAGATAAAAATAATCAACCCCATTACCTGTTAACATAAATCTAATTTTAATGAAAAATAAATATTTTCTAAAACAACAACAACAACAAAATCAGTGAGAAGAGTGGCATTTATTTATTTAAAACAATCTCTTTAATGTCTAGTTTAATAAAAGATAAGTGAATCCTCATATCTGTTTCTATATTCAGCCAGTGTGTTATCATATATGGTGTACCCTCTGGAAAACACTATATGAGTGAGAGAATTAGAATGAAAAAGGAACATCTTAGGGTTATCATGAAAATAGTTTTAACTTGGCTAATCACCTGAACAGGTCTCAGTGACACCAAAGTCCCCAGATCACACTCTGAGAACAGCTGATATAAAATATTCAGCATGCAGTCTGACATAGGTAGATTGCCCAATATGTGCATGAAAGCTGACTCTTTTTTAAGCATTATTGTTGCTA